GTTGCTGCCATCTTACCTGTAAACAAAACGACACAAAACTCAGTCCAATGGAGAGAAAGTGACGGAGATTTATATGAGAAGGAGAGAAGTGACAGAGAGGAAAGACCTTAGTCAGAGCTCCGGACGGAGTAAGAGTAGAGAATTAGGATTTTTGAAGGTGCGGCTCTCACAATGAAGCTCTCACGGGCGAGTGAAAATGATACTAGGGTTTCGCCTTTTAAGAATCACTAGGGTTGGTGTATGATGGGTGTGCTCGGGTACATGCGGACTATTTAGTGCTTATTCATTGGTCGACCTGAGGATTTTAAAACCTAGTTATATCAGGCATTGCTTAATATGTTATTATAATTAATATTTCACTTAATTTTCAATATTTAATTTAACATATGAACTTATAAATAGGAAATTATTTTGTGATTACATAATCAAGAGATTTTTCTATTAATTAAAATTAAGGAGATTATTTTTATATCCCCTAACTTTTATGTCAATTTTTACAAATCGATATTACAAATTACGTGATAATTTATTTTTTAAATAATTATACTATTAATATGAAATTATTTTTATAGAACATAATTGGGAGATTAACTATAGCTGCGATTTGCACTTAAGAGTGTTTACTAGATTCAAACCTATGGGATTATGTATTTTTAGGGGGGTGTTTTTTGGATTTAAATCTTTAGATATTGCTGACCATCGTCTAATTCGTCAAATCACCGATTCAACCGATCAATTAGGAAACGACCACTTCATTGTTTCACCCCGGTCATTATTAAAACCATGTCTAATAGTTAATAGATGAGTTTTAGTGAGATTTAGCTTTTAGCCCTAAGTAAAACTATAAAAATCTTCATGTAATCATGTGACCATTTCGGAGTGTGAATAATTTAAAAAAAACAAAAAAAGGCTTTTTGAGATTAAAATTTATAAGCACTTTGAAAACTAATTTAAAAAATAAATAATGATAATTGATCTTAAAAAAAAAAAATGATCTATGATTTTGCAAAATTGTCCTAGATGTCCTTTTTTTCTTGCGATAGCAGGAGGGCCATGCCCTTGGGCTTTGAATGTCTATGAAAAGAATCAACCTAAGACCCTTACATATTATCTCCCAATACCATCGGGTGTTTTGCTATATAATCTGTACTATTATTTTGTGATGTCTTCTTCTACTTGCATAGAGTATATTTTTTTTTTTTAATTTATTGTACACTTGTTTATTAATTTATTTAAGGTGCTTTTACTATTTATTTGGGTAAAGGAAAAACATTATACCTAGGTCCTTGGTGGATTTTTGTCAATTTTGACAAGTTACCTTTCTATTCAATATATTAACTCATTGTGAAATCATTTAAAAAGGCCTACACATAAATTTTCTCAACGGCAACTATTTTATCAAGAACATTAATATATTTTCCCATCCATAATGAATACTCAACAAGCATAATCTATGCATAACAATTTGCATTTGCAGAAAGCAGCAATTATTTAAGCCAAAATCAAGTCAATTTCATAAGATTACTAGTCGTCCAATAAATATAACCCACATCTTCAAAATCAGGTCTTTAATAACGAAACTTGTAGAAATATTAGTTGCAGAACTCAAAACATTGCCATTTCCACTAGATACTAAACAACAGTCACAACCCTAGTCGTCCCAAAATCTGTAGAAAGATAGTATGACCAGAGTGGACGAAAGCCATCAACGCAACCTCCTAGCTTCTCTCTCGACTCGAGCAGAGTGAGATATCACCTTCTCTCACGGTCCCTTCACTCCTCATGATGAACCGATTCGGATCATCCAAAATTGACTCTAACCTGAGTCACCTGCCCTCTTGAACCTGTACGTCCCATGACTTTCACCACCACAGCATGCTTAATTGCAGAATCCATTCTGGATACAAAAATGACAACATTTTAGCAAAACAAATCATTTAAAATCACCGCACAAAACACACACAGTCAACCAAAAGTCATAAGCACAACTAAGATTAACAACTAAACTACTTCCTACAATTCGTTAACCTAAACTCCTATTTCCTTATTCTGTCGCCAATTTGCAATCCACACAAAGAACTGCATCAAACTATTATCGAAACCTAGAAATAATTTCTATTCTAAGCACTGATAGGCTCCCTTCAATTAATAAGCAAGCCAATTATGTAAACACAAGTTTCTTGCATCTAGAAGATTCTACGGACAGGCCGCCAGCCCGAAATGTCTAGTTCTCTAAGCGAGTAGTCCAGAAGATCAGACTACTAAAAAAAGACCATTTCTCGACATATTCTTCAGAATAAGCTTTAAATCTCAAATTTCATTCCCTGCTTTTTTTTTTTTTTTTTTTTTTTTTTTTCCCGTGACATTTCTGGGCAGCCAAACAAATCATTCGCACATACAGTAACGTTTATATAGTTAATATTAGTAATTAATTACCAACACCAAAGCAAGTTTTCCTCCACAAAGAGAGACTAAAACAAGAATACACAAGCCTATTTCTCCATGCATTCTTTTAAAAGCTTAAATCTTAAAATTCATTCATTATTTTCTCAGCAGCCAAACAAACATTCACATATCAACTAAGTGCTTTTATAAGTCTAATACTAGTAAATTTAATTATCTTCAAACAGGCAAAATTCTCTCACAGAACGAAATTATAAACAAGGTTCTCAGCAGCCAAACAGATCTGACAATTAAATCACAGCAACATACAGTTATATACATATAAATTTATTAAAATTAAAAGGAATAAACGAGAAAATATTAAACGACGCGTAATCATGTTAAAACAGTGCCAAACGACGTGACAAAAGCTATAGTGTGATGGAAAGAAACAGTACGAAGGAACCCAAGGGGGGAGCGAACCTGAGAGAAGATGAGTAACAGAAAGGCTGTAGAGCGGCTGCTAATTCTTGTGCAGTTCTTCTTCCAATGGGGGAGAAAAACCCTAGATTGATGGCATTTTATATAGCGGAGGAAGCTTAATGACGGTTTTGCCCAGATGGTTGATTTGTTGGGTTTGTGTTTTTTGGTCAATTGAGAAGAAGTTTTCATATAAGGAGTTTAGATGTGGTGTGATTGTACCAAAGTTGATGAAGTGTACGCTTTCTATTTGCATTTCAACCGTCGTATTATCTTACTTTTTCTTCTTTAAGTTGAATGTTGACCCCATTCCTTTGGGCCTTTGTTCTGGACCATGGTTTCAAATCGTGTATCGTATCGTGTTCGAAAACCTAATTTTTTGAATCGTGTATCGCTATCGTATCGTATCGTAAGATACGTCTTTTTCAAAAAAATTAATAAAATAATCAAAATTTTCTAAAAATTAATATAATCCTCAAGATTAATTAAAGAATTTTGTGGTATTATTGACTTTAAATAACGGTATTACATAATCAAAATTAATCACAAAATTCCAAGATCAATGTCAATATCTATATCTCCACTTATATTATTATTATTATGTAAAATGGGCAATACATATTCCTCTTCACTTTCTCCATGCAAAATAGGTAAATTTGGACAGGTTTTGGTGAATCGGGTTGGGTGACCCAGTTTCGACCCGATTTTTTTTTTGACATTTGGCCCAAATTAATAAAGTCGTATCGATTTATATCGATATTTTTAAGAATACGAACGGATACGTATCGTATCGTAGGATACATATTAACGTATCGAATGGTTTAGGATACACTCTCTGATACATATCATTGGCGACCTGTATCGAATCGTATCGTATGATACATATCGGGTATCGTAGGATACTAACAATCATATTCTGGACCTTTATCATTGTTAGCGGTTATGTTTTAATTTCAGTGTTTTGTTTTACAGAATTAAGGATAAACATAATTAAAACACTTCATTTGACTAATTATTTGATGATTTTTAAAATAGTATTTTGAAAAAAAGTAAAATTGGATTATTTTTACGAAAAATATAATTATTAATGTTTTATGAGACGAATAAAGTAGAATAGGATTTTGAGAATATTGGAATAAATGCATTTTTAGGTTTTTTAGGACATAATAGTAGAATAGAATAAAAATATAATATTGAACCAAATGAAGCCCAAAAAACTATTAATTTTTTTTTTTAATACAAATTATTAAAAATACTTTAAAATTAAAGTCCATTTATATATAATGTACTATTATGATTATAAGGGGTTAATTAATCGGTTAAGTCTATTATTTGCTCTTATAAGTTATGGTCATTACGTTTTCTAGAAATAGTAGGATTTGATGGCTTGGTTTTAAAATTTAAGTACTTATGACCGGGGGTGTTCCAGCCAGCTTACAGATATCTCAATAAATTTTTTAAGACTTTCAAGTTAGCGATCGGATAAACCCTCAAGTGGTCACCCCTATTACCAACCGAAGAGAATTGAACTCAAAACATTTTGAATGTATTATCAACTTTCAAATTATAGAGTTTGACGGTCCACTAATTTTGATCTCAATTAGTGAAAGCAAATATGAATTGGAAAGATTTTTCAATTATTAAAAACATTTATTTTTCTAAAAATATTGAATTTAAAGAAAAATCGATATATATGTGATAGAAAAATATTATGCTTAAAACTAAGTCATACAATCAGAGAAAAAACAAAAGACTGAATAGTCATTTTACATGAATTTTATGCAACTTTTGTTTGATTGTATGATTTAGTTGTAAGCAAAATATTATTGTATGAACTATGTAATAATTATCTTTATGTAGATGTACAATAATGTTTTGCTTATAACTGAGTCATACAACTAGGTAAAAATTACATAAAATTTATGTAAAATAACTAATTTATCCTTTATTTTTTGTCTGATTGTAATATTATATAATTTAATTGTATAATTCAGTTGTTAGCATAACATTAGTCGTAGATGTATAATGAATTCGAACGCAAGGGAGTCATGTTAATTTTTTTTAAACTAGAGGGGTGCTTTAGTAAAACAACGTAAACATAAAAAATCCAAAATTTTCTAACCACACGGTCCACACCGCTCTCTCCCTCCCTTCTCCTCCTCCCTCTGTCCACTTCATGGAGCTCTCACTCTCACACTCATCTTCTCTAACAATTTCAGCGGTAACTGCTCCCTGCAACACTTATTCAATCCAAACTAAGATACCCGTTAACCCCAAGTGCAAATCCTTTGAGTTGCTGCTGAAATGCTCCAAGAAAGGGCCTTCACTTGGGCTGTACAGTAGCAGAATTGGCTCTAAACATGCACCAAAACGATCCCAGAGGCGTAACTCCATCTGGGTATGTTTTTTTTTTCTTCTTATTGATGAATTAAGCTCGTGTTTTGCTTGTTTATGACTTTATGTTTGAGTTTCGGTGGTTGAAAAGAATTTTTTTCTGCTTTTTGTTCTTGTTTTTGGTGTGTTCATTAACTTGCCTAGAGTGTTGGAGTAATTATATTTATAAGTATTTGTTTAAGTTAGAATTGTTAATGTGTTGAAGTTCAGCTCACTGAGAGAAAATGGTTAATATAAATGAGAATGCTAATTTACTTAACTAGCTTAAGTGGGAACTCTGGATGAGTCAAAGTCTTAGATGGGACGGGCGCGTCATCCATGCACGAAAAGTCGACTAAATAATTGCCTTGGATTGTTGGATTAATTTTATTATAAGTATATGTTTGAGGTAGAATTGTTCACGTGTTGAAGTTCTACTTACTGAGACAAAATTGTTATTGTTATAAATGAGAGGTGGCTGATTACAATTTCATTTTGTGGTCACCGACTTACCCTGACATGTTATCAAGGGTTGGAATGGTGAAATCAACATGTTGTATTTGATTTTTATTCACCTTGGTCTCTGATATTCCTTGGTCTATCTATGGCATTAATGTGAAAGTGGATGCTGCTAGGCCTCATCTGATATTGGAGCAGCTGGATCTGATCCAGTGCTGAACAAAGTGTCAGCTTTCAAAGATGCATGCTGGAGATTTCTTAGGCCCCATACTATACGTGGAACTGCTTTAGGATCAGTGTAAGTACTCAAGTTACAAATGCACTAGCAGTATTGGTAAATTAATTTTGGTTGGATGTTGCAGGATTACCTTATTTTTATGTTGACAGTGCTTTGGTAGGGAGAGCATTGATTGAAAACTCAAACCTAATTAAATGGTCACTGCTGTTGAAGGCATTCTCTGGTCTCGTGGCTCTAATTTGTGGGAATGGTTTTATAGTTGGCATCAATCAGATCTACGATGTTGGCATTGACAAGTATGTGGTGAAATAATATGTAAAATTCTTTGATTACTTGTAAAACTTGCATGAAACGACTTAAATGTAGACTTAAAATCAAATCTGGGTTTCTGAGCTTTTGAACTGGACTGCTCATATCTTGTGGTTAGGACTCAGCACATTGGATTCAGACGATTAGTGGTTGATATCCATCATTTAGGTCAGATGATTTATATCCATTCAGTGAAGCTAATTCTTAAAACCAACAAGTTCTAGATAAAGGTTTTCTCAATAACATCCCATGGTCTGAACATATTACATGGCCTAAGGTCTTAACTCATGGTCTGTATTTGTTTTATAATTCACTGTTTTAAAATATCATGTGGTACAGTGGTGCATTGTTTAAGTATGTTAAGTCGTCAAAGTAAACTTTGAAGTTAAACTTCTTATAGAAGTATGAGTAGTTGAATCCAAGATTCTGTCTATTATGTATTTGATTATTTATGATAAATGTGTGCAGCAAAAATATTTGTTTTCTCTATGCAGAGTAAACAAACCTTACTTACCAATAGCTGCTGGGGATCTTTCAGTGCAATCTGCATGGTCATTGGTGATATTTTTTGCTGTGACTGGTCTCTTGATTGTTGGATTAAACTTTGGCCCATTCATCACTTCCTTATACTCTCTTGGCCTTTTTCTGGGAACCATCTATTCTGTTCCTCCACTTAGAATGAAGAGATTTCCTGTGGCTGCATTTCTTATAATTGCAACGGTATGGTTTATTTTCACCTTCCTCACCTCCAAATCTCAGAAATTAATTTTATGGTAGTTTGCCTTGTCCTCCACGACCAATTGCAATTTGATGACCCACCACTTGAATGTTATTAAGTTACTATTTTACCTAAACAGCAAGGTTGATATATAAGAGTCTGACAATAATACATAAGCTCTGACTCACCCTTTCACATGCAAGGAATGTAGATTTAACACAACCGCCATCACTAACGCAGCTTATGAACATTGAAATAATGCATTGGGGGATTCAAACACAAGGCCACTTGGTTAACTTAGCTCTCATACCATATTAAGTTAACACTTGATGTAAGAGCTTAAGTCTATACAAAAGGGTCCAGCACAGTATTAGAAACCTATCAAATGTTTTGGTTTTGATTTGCATTTCCTTTGGAATGCCAGGTTGCTTCTAAAATTGAAATCAGAATCATAATTTCTGAACTGATAATAATGAAGAAAATGGGTTTTTAGTTCACATTATGAAATGATAATATGTCTAGTACAAGCCTAGAAAAAAATCTCTTAAGTGTTATAAGGACAATATAACGCCATTAAAAGCTGTGATAGATAAACTAGATGAATTGAATGTTGTATTTGTCTGTGTCTCTGACCGTCTGAAAGTTAGTTTTATTTGATTAAAGAGTAGTTGTCAAACAAAAAAGGTCATCATCTTATGCTACTATTATAAATATTAAGAATCACTTTAGTTTGTGTAAGAATTGTTTAGTGATCTGTATAATTTTATTGCTCTTTTACATTGATTGTTATTGCCACATGTGTCTCTAGAAAGTTAGTTTGTTAGACAAGAAACTAACAAAATATAACTTCTTCAGGTACGGGGCTTTCTTCTTAATTTTGGTGTATATTACGCCACAAGAGCTGCCCTTGGACTCTCATTTGAATGGAAGTAAGTTATCATTCATTACATATTGGTTCATAATTGATTGAATTAATGGTCATAGTTAACATTTGGCTCAATTAGGGTGTCATAGACATTGTTTTAAAACCCGGTTCAGAGGGCAACCCGTTTTGCTGCTCGGGTCACGGGTCAACCGGTTGGACCGATGACGTCAGCGACAATTTTATTTAAAAAAAATTACATATTAATCCTTCAAATTTTAATATATTACAAAAATTTCCCTAAAAAAGTTTAAAGTAGTCCCTAAAATTTTTATTTATTTAAAAAGGCCCCAAAAAATTACCAATTAATCCCTAAACTTTTGATATATCTCTAAAACACCCCTATAAAATTACAAGTTAACCCTTATAATTTTGAAATATTACAAAATCCCCCTAAGACCTGAACCGGACCGGAGAAGCTGCCGGGTCTCGGTCCGACCGGCTGGTCTGGTCCGGTTTTTAAAACAGAGGTCATAGGTACCTGCTAGCATGCTGATTTTTCATAGTGACTATGATGGAAAAATAATCAACCAGACTTAAAATAATTAGTGTGGTACCCCCATAATTCCACTCCATCCACTTAAGCTGGTAGCCTGAGCCATGATTTAGAGTTTGACTTTGTTTACCTTGAAACCTTTCTGATCCCCACAAATTGATACCACTGGCTAGAGGTCTTAGAGTATATCCTTCCATTTACATGAGCAGGCTATATTTAACTTTTTATTGTGGAATATGTCTATACTTGTTCGAACTGTTAACAAGAATTGTAATGTTTTCTCTTCAATTTCTACCTGCAGTGCACCTGTGGCTTTTATTACAACATTTGTGACATTGTTCGCATTGGTCATTGCTGTTACAAAAGATCTTCCAGATGTAGAGGGAGATCGCAAGTGAGTTGCAGGCCTAATTATGTCAATGTATTTGATTTTATTCTACTTTTGAAGCTAGCTGATATCTTGTTTATGTTTACCTTCCTGTGTTTTATGCATTAGATTCCCCTTGAATGCTTAAAGCACCAACTTTGAATGATATATGAGATTCCAGTTTATAGCAATTTATCTTGATATTCCCTCAATAAGCCTTCAAATTCCTAATTTTGTTATCCATCTCTTGAATGTTTTGAACTAACCCTGTCCCCATTTTTTTTAGATTTGAGACACTTCTTATTTTTTCATAGTTGTTTACAGATTTCAAATATCAACTTTAGCAACAAAGCTTGGAGTTAGAAACATTGCATTCCTTGGTTCTGGACTTCTGCTGGTAAATTATATTGCTGCTATATTGGCAGCAATTTACACTCCTCAGGTGAAAGTTCTGCTCCTTTGAAGTTAGTCTTATTAAGTTATAAATGGTTTATGCATTGTTGGTACTTGATTTTAAGCTCATTTCCGTAACTCATGGAATCATTTGAATGTTTATAGTTCTCAACATTGATCTTTTTTGTATACATAGTTTCTGCAAATTTTGTGTTGATCTTATGCAAATCTTATGGAATCAGCAGAGTGTTAAGTGTATTTCCAGACATTTTTTCTTCTATGGAGATTAGTTCTATAACTAAGTATACTTTTACTTGTTTTCAGGCTTTCAGGCGTAACTTAATGATACCTGCACATTTAATCTTGGCATCATGCTTGATTTTCCAGGTGTGTCTCTAATTAACACCATGATCAGGTCTATATTTTATTTCTTTTGAAAGTCTTGCACAGATTACTCTCCATTTGATTCGCCTTTTTTTTTTTTGGGAGGGGAGGGGTAGAGGATGTATGTTAGGATAAATTCTTTTTCCTTGATATGCTTCTTGTTTTGTGTTTGTCAGTGTTTAAATAATAGTTGCTCGACATGGTTTTCTATACTATTTAACAGATGTTATTTTGTTCATATCCTAGAACTTTTCCCTTTCTTTCTGTTAGATTATGGCAAGTTAGATTTGTATTTGGATTCTGATAAAACCCCAAGATTAACAAACAACAAGCAACCAATAAATCAGACAATGCACCAATTCTCAAGTGTTTTCACAAGATAGATTTGGATGGATTTAATCAGATTGATATTAAGAACTAAAAATGGTAAATAACAGAGCAATATTCCAGGAAATGAAATGAAAGAAAATAACAGCAGATAAGTCCCAGCAGTTCAAGGAGCTAGGGACCTCCCTGATTCACACTTTACAAATCCTGACTTTTCAACCAAAGGCTCTTCCTTTTATACATGAATCAGCTAACAACTTTTATTCCATTCTAACTAATTGGTTCACACGTCACATGCCTCCAGCTTCTCTCCACTCAAGCAGGTTTCTTCAATTCTGTTAGCCTCTCTCCACTAACGCATGCTTCTCCAATTCCAACCAAATCTGTAAGTGGCTTTTTACCCTTGTGCTCTCTGTGCTGGTAAACCTTCTTGATGGGTGGTCTATCAATACCCCCCACCTTGAAGAGCCACCTTGTCCTCAAGGTGAAAGTGAGGAAATTGAAGAGTGATGGTGTCGGCCAACTCCCAGGTTGCTTCAAATGGGGCTAAATCCTTCCACTTAATAAGGACTTCCTGAGAGCCATTCACTAGTGTGCGGACGGCCAAGACAAATTCCGAATGAACCTGCAGCTCCATGTCCTCCGTGAGGCAGGGTGGTAGAGGTTGGATAGGAACCGAGTTGTGCAGACTGCTCTTGAGTTGAGGTACGTGAAAAACGGGATGAATTTTGGCTGTTGAAGGCAGCTCCAGCTTATATGCAACCTGTCCAATTTTTTCCAAAATGGGAAATGGTCCATAAAAACGAGGACTCAACTTTTCATTGAGTTTAGAAGTCAGGGACTTGAAGCGGCAAGGTTGAAGCTTCAAAAACACTTGGTCTCCTGGCTGAAAGTTAACATCCCGACGATGGGCATCTGCCTGTGATTTCATATGGTTCTGGGCATTACTCAGGTTATTTTTCAGCGTGTCCAATATGGCGTTACGATCAGCCATCTGCTGATTGACTTCTTCAACCAGTGAAGGGTAGTCGGTGAAGCGGAGAAGAGTGGGCGGATCGCGGCCGTAGAGTGCATTGAAAGGTGTCATCTTGGTTGCACTATGAAAAGTAGAATTATACCAAAATTCGGCCCATGCTACCCACCGTGGCCATTGTTTAGGCTGGTTGCTGCAAAAACAACGAAGATAGGCTTCTAAACAACGGTTAACTACCTCCGTTTGGCCGTCGGTTTGAGGATGGTACGCAGAATTGAATTTCAGCTTGGTACCTGCGGCCTTAAACAATTCTTGCCAAAATTGACTGACAAACACTCGGTCTCTGTCGGATACAATTGAGTTTGGAAACCCATGCAGTCGCACAACTTTCGAAACAAACAAATCAGCCACTTCCTTGGCTCGTATATGGGTGACATAAGGGAAGGAAGTGACCATATTTAGTTAATCGATCCACCACTACCAATATCGTGTCATATCCTTTGGCTTTGGACAACCCCCTGATAAAATCCATACTAATGTCTTCGAATACCTGGGTGGGAATGGGTAAAGGTTGGAGAAGACCCGCAGGCTTAAGAGCAAAATGTTTATTCAGTTGACAGGTGGAACACTGTTGAACAAAAGTCTGAACATCTCTTTTAATACCCTCCCAAAAAACCAAATTCGTCACTCGTTTGTAAGTTCTGAAAAATCCGGAATGGCCGCCGGCCGGACTGTTGTGGAATTCCTCCAACAACTGCGGAATAAATTTAGAAGATTTGGGAACCACCAACCTGTTTTTGTAAAGCAGACAGCTGCGGCGTAGACTGTAATTTGGGTGACTCTGGGGATCAAAAAGCAAATCTTGGATGACAATTCGAAGCTTCGCATCTTGTTGTGCTTCAGTCGCCAGATCATCGAATTCTGAGAAGGTAACTATCGAGACAGCAGTGAATTCCATGTCTGCTCTGCGGGAGAGGGCATCAACCACGTGGTTTGAACTACCTGGTTGATACACTATCTCAAACGTGTAACCGAGAATCTTAGAAATCCATTTTTGCTATTCAGGTGTTTTCACCCTCTGATCGGTCAAGAACTGCAAACTACGCTGGCTGTTTTGGTAGTAAACTTTTGTCTGCTAAGGTAATGACTCCATTTTTGAACTACAAACACTATGGCCATTAACTCTCTTTCATATACTGATTTTTGCTTTGACTGATGGGAAAATGCTTTCTTGATGAATGCTATGGGACGTTGGTTCTGATGTAAGACAGCTCCCAATCCTTGGCCCAATGCGTCGGTGTGGACTTCAAAAGGGATACTGAAATCAAGTACAGCCAGCACAGGAACGGATGAGATGGTTTTTTTAAGGTTATCAAAGGCTTGTTGGGCCTGTTCATTCCACCCGAAGGCGTCTTTCTGAAGTAGTTTAGTCAATGGCCGAGCTATCGACCCATAATCTTTCACGAATCTACGATAATACCCTGTTAATCCCAAGAATCCCCGCAACCCTTTGATAGTCTGTGGAACAGGCCAAGATAGCATTGATTCCACTTTGGTTGGGTCTGCCTCCACCCCATTCACAGAAATCAAATATCCCACATATTCTAACTTCAACTGACCAAATATACATTTTTTTCGGTTGACAACCAGCTCGTTGTCGGCTAAGATTTGGAAGGTGTATCGCAAGTGAGTGAGGTGGGCTTCTAGGTCGGGGCTGTAGACTAGGATGTCGTCAAAAAATACCAGTACAAACTTCCTTAAAATTGGTCTGAAAATGGTCAACCCAAACGGCATGACCAAGAATTCGTAATGCCCCTCGTGAGTTCGGAAAGCTGTTTTCGGCACATCCTCAAGCCTAACTCTGATCGGATGATATCCGAATTTCAAATCCAGCTTAGAAAAAACTATCGCTCCAGCCAACTCATCTAACAACTCATCAATTGAAGGTATGGGAAATTTGTCGGGTATGGTTATGTTGTTAAGGGTGCGGTAGTCAACACAAAATCGCCAGCTTCCATCTTTCTTTTTAACCAATAGCACCGAGCTTGCAAAAGGACTAGTACTCGGTTGGATTATTCCGGATACCAGCATTTCACCCTCCAGCCTTCCTATCTCATTCTTTTGAGTGTAGAAATATTTGTAGGGGCGTAGATTAGGGGGTTAGGAGGATTGTTGGAGGGTTATGGCATGGTCAGTTGGTCTCCTCGGTGGAAGACAAGGGTGTTGGTCAAACAGTTGGTGGAATTCTTTAAGTAATGTAGCAACTTCCGGCTCCATGGGTTCACTTTGCTCTTCGACTTTCCTCTCAATAGAACAAAACTCTACTACATACCCTGCACCTTCACTCTATAGTGTCTTGAGCATAGCTTTTAGAGAGACTATAGCCTTAACTAACGAAGGATCACCCTGCAACACAATTCTCTTCCCATTACTATCGAACGCCATGGTTAAATTTTTCCAGTTAGAGCACACATCTCCCAACGTGCTCAACCAAGATATCCCTAACACCACATCAGCTCCACCTAAATCAAAGGGGAAAAAATCTTGTGTCAACTCCACCTCCTGGATCCTCATACTCACATTTCTGCAAATTCCTTCTCCCCTGACGGTAAAACCATTTCCTATCATTACTCCGAATTGTTTCCCCTTCTCCAAGTTCAAGCCTAGCTTCTGTACCAACTCCTTTGAGATGAAGTTGTGGGATGCCCCACTATCAACCAACACAATCACTGTCTCATCTCCAATCATTTCCCGGATCTTCAAAGTTTTATCCATCGTCATACCCACAATCGAGTTCATAGACAAAGCCAATGGATTACCTGTTGGGTTGGTGTCATCGTTGTTGTCAGAGTTGGGTTCTTCCTTTTCCGGCGAGTCTTCATCGGTTACTATAAGGATCTGCAGCAATCTTGCCTTCCAACGGTGCGTGGGATTGTATTTTTCGTCACATTTGAAACACAGTCCCCGCTTCCTCTTGGTCTGAATCTCGACGTCAGTCAATCGCCGGAAGCCTTCGCCCCGAAATCCCTGCATGGGTGTGTCAGCTGGCCTTTGTCGTTCATTTCCTTTGTTTGAACTCAGATCTGGAATGCGTGAAAAGGTGTTGGGAGACCACGCATTTGTGCGCCAGTTTTCTGGGTTGGGTGTGACCCGCTGGTATGGCTCCATTTTAGGTGGTTGGGTCTTAAAGGGTTTGGGCCTATGTTTTTCCAAAACCCAGTTTTTGTCCTCAACTCTGTGGACCTGCTCAATAAGTGAAAAGAGTGTATTTGGTTGGGCCAAATGCAGTTCAGCCCGAATTTCTTCTTTGAGTCCATTTAAAAAAATTCCCATTAGCAAATCTTCTCCTACCTCAAGCAAGGGAGCTGAATGTTCTTCAAAATTTTCTCTGAAGTCTGTTACTGTTCCAGTTTGTTTTAAGGCTACTAGTGCCTCATATGCTAATCCTTTGAAACATGGACGAAATCTCGCAACCACGGCAGTTTTAAAAGCTTCCCATGAACTGATTGGTGCCCTTGATTCGACCCACTGATACCAATTCAGTGCCCGTCCCTCCATGCAAACTGCAACTGCCTCTACTGTTTCTCCCTCTGTGTAACGATTGACTGAGAAATAGCGATCTGCTCTGAAAGTCCATCCGTAGGGATCTTCTCCATTAAATATTGGTAATTCTAATTTTTTTCCCTTCTTTTCCTCCTTAAGGCTCTCGGTTTCCTTACTCTGACTCATTCCACCATTGTCGTTACTGTTGGAGTTTTCCCCCAGCTTTGACTTGCCCCGATCTCTACTATTTTGTGCTTCCTTCTCCTCTTTCAGTCTCATCCATTCTCTCATTTCCAGGATATACCCTTTGATGCTACCTAACTCCTCCTTCATGCCTCCTAGCTCCTTCTCCATGTTACCCATTTCTTTTTCTAATCCCTCAACCTTCTGCTCCATTCTCGATTTAGGCATTACCCACACTAAGCTCTGATACCAGTTGATAAAACCCCAGGATTAACAAACAACAAGCAACCAATAAATCAGACAATGCACCAATTCTCAAGTGTTTTCACAAGACAGATTTGGATGGATTTAATCAGATTGATATTAAGAACTGAAAATGGTAAATAACAGAGCAATATTCCAGGAAATGAAATGAAAGAAATAACAGCAGATAAGTCCCAGTAGTTCGAGGAGCTGGGGACCTCCCTGATTCACACTTTACAAATCCTGACTTTTCAACCAAAGGCTCTCCCTTTTATACATGAATCAGCTAACAACTTTATTCCCTTCTAACTAATTGGTTCACACGTCACATGCCTCCAGCTTCTCTCCACTCAAGCAGGTTTCTTCAATTCTGTTAGCCTCTCTCCACTAACGCATGCTTCTCCAATTCCAACCAAATCTGTTAGTGGCTTTTTACCCTTGTGCTTTCTGTGCTGGTAAACCTTCTTGATGGGTGGTCTATCACATTCACATGACAAATCTGTGTGTTCATATATTTATTAGAGTTTAAATGCGATTATTCGACTTTTTTCTGTACACTTAAAACTTTTGGAGTTACTGGTTACTACAAATTGTTCTTGATCTGAAATTAATTTCAATAATTGAATTTCTGTAATATGTGGTTATCATTAATGATCTGTGTCTTATCTTACATACAATTTCATCTGGAATACAATTTCAGGCGTGGGTGTTAGAACGAGCAAATTATACCAAGGTAATCCTAGCTTTGGTGTTGCTTTATATGATCATAGTAATATTTTGTGTTGAGTGGTGATATTTGTCCCTCACCCCACCGAGGACTTGAAGAAGTCTCGTTTATCATTTGAAATCAGTTGAATATTTTTGAAAAATACAAAATTGACATCACAAATTTTTTGTGTTGGATAATTACAAACCCTTCTTTGAAGTCAATTAATAGTTAGAGAGAAAGTCCACAAAACCGATACATTAGATGACGAAGAGATAAAACAAATTAAAAAAAATTGAGAATACAGGTTGAATCCCCAGAAAGGTTCAAAAGACAACCCGCAAAAACAGAACTAAAAGAGAGAAAAACAAGGGTTTGAAACAAAAAAAATTATTGTTATACCAACTTGAAATATTAAAGAACAGATACAAGGCAGAAGGAAAAAAGAATGGAATAGAAAAAGAAAGAATGGAGAAAAGAATTGGAGATAAATCAGCCATACGATACATTCGGCTGTCATACCCTATGGTTATATAGTAGATAGATCTTTCAGAACTAAAGTGAGATTCATATGATACTGTCCTAAGCTGCACATTGCCCTTCTTGCTTATCTGATTATATTTTTATCGTCTTTTGCAGGAAGCAATCTCGGGGTTCTACCAGTTTATATGGAATCTCTTCTATGCTGAGTATGCTATATTTCCTTTCATCTAAAATACTAGTCTGTACCTTTTTTGGTGTGCCCTTTCTATTTTTCATTTTTAGTTTCCCACAGAGAGAGATAGTAGTTTGTTACATAAATTGCTGCATAATTTTGCAATGTAGCTAACTTTGTTGTATGTACAATTTTGTATATCTTGCTAGGCAAAGAACTAAGAACTGTATTTTGATTCATGCAAGTAATGGAATAATATGGAAATTTTCTATCCAGTGACTTGCAGCCTTGCTGATTTGCTTGTTGGTAGACATACAAACTTGAATTCTGGTGTCTTCATAATTCAGCATGGTCTTCATTCGCAGAACTAATCAACCCTAGTTGCTAACTACTTACATACACAGTAGAATATATATTGGTTCAGATGAGTGAAGTTAGTAGGGTATTACATAGTGTTAACAACTCTTGTTTGGTCCTCGGGTCTAGATGTTCTTGTGTTATGTCATAGAGTGGATAACTACGATGTTTCAGAATCTTAGATGTTTCAAAAGCTAGTGGATCAGTTCTGTGCTCAATAATTCAACTATATGCTGTGTCTTAATGAAATAGGGGATCCATTTGGGTTTTATAGTTGAACATATAATATAGGTCAAATTGAGGATGCTAACACATTTTGAAACTTCAAATCTCTTAATACTTGAAACTTTAGAAATTGGTATCTAAGATTGAGTTCAGACTGAGACTTGTTGGTTCTAAAACATTCAACTTACATTTATTACTTATCAAGTTACAAATGAATTTTACTTTGTAATTGTATCTAGATTTTCAAGTCCCTGTTTCTTTCTTTCTTTGTATATTAAGATTAATTTAGGATCATATAGAACTGAAGAAATGAAAGGGTACTCATCTTTCTATATTGAATGGCAACAAATTCTCATTTTCACTTTGTGTCTACTAAAAGAAATGTGTAACAGATTGGTATAGAAAGAACATAAATTAACTTCTATTTCATCTTCTCTACCGCCAAGACCAGTCAATAGATATACTTTTGTCTAAATATAGTCTATTCCTTGCCTGGTTGGGACGATTCGCCTTGCTCTGGAGCAAGGGGACTTCTACCTAGTGGATTTGAAAATGCACCTCTTACACCTCTTGCTCTTGGAGACAAGTTTTCTTGCTCGAGAACCCGGCATTGAAGTTCAAAAGGGTAATCCCTCATGCAACCAATCCGGGGCCCAGCTCCTGTGCTCCATCTAGAGGATAATTGCTGAGCTAACTGGTAAGATCTCATTCCTTTATGTGAATCTATCCTCATTATGATTTTCTCTTTTGGGATGTGCTTTTCATTTTCATCATCACTATCATCATCCTCATCAAACAAATTCTTTTTAGGAACCATGAATTCTTCGTCTGACAAAAATGATTCTTCTGCTGTTTCATAACCATCTTCTGAAGGAGATTCTGGAATTTCAGAATGACAATTTTGAGGAAGCACATCTTTCTTAAAAATATCATACACATCACCTATTTTGGGTACTTCAACTCTTGTAACTTTCGAGCCAAATCGTCGAGACAATTTTGATTTTAGTTTACCCGAACTTTCTGCAGCCTTAGAGTCCTCTTCTCGCGAATCAATATCCTCTTGGGCTGAAGTTTTAGCTTCTGTTGCTTCAGTGTACTTATAGATTTCTGCTTCCAATGAAGTGCTATGCAGGCTCTTGCTCTTCTTGATATTGCCTTCTTCTTCCTCCTCAACTGGCGTTTTCTAAACAGAACATATCCCAAAAAAAAAAATTGTCAATACATCAAAGATTAGCCTCTCTTTGTTTAACATACGGAAAAATCTGGTATGATACGATAACATATCCAAAAAAAGAAAAAAAAAGAAAAAAAAAGGGGCATAAATCTAAGTTTTTGCCTCCCAAAAGTCTCCTGCTACACAAATTTTGGGTTATATCAGATGTTAACTTCATCAGTGCTCTTTTTACCTGCAGATTTTCCGTATCCACGCCATACTCGTGGAGGAATGACATGAACGCCTGGAAATTTTCTTCTGTTGGAAGGTAGTGTCCACTGTGAGGCCAAACTGACTGTAAGGTTGAATAAATCATGTCAGCACACAAAACCCACTTGAGGTAAAAGAATCTAATTCCTCAGAAACACGTAGCAATGGCTTCTTATTTACCTTCAGAATACCATTTTCGACGACCAATCTTCCAGCTGATAATGTCGCGCCACCAGCCAGAAAACTCGAATGCTGAAATGTGCCCTTGTTCTTCTGCCCAACATACAAGCTCTTGGATGCACTGAGAACGAAGATCCATTTGGCATCTTTAGGTCCTCCAGTGGTATCAAGAAGTTTCCCACTCTTCTTGTAAAGGAATTGTGCACCCTCTATCACTACTTCATACTCAGTCCTTTCTGTCTGCAAGTTGAAAATTTTGTTGTTTAGCAAACTCCGTTTTAGGGTTTTAAAATTTTAAAAACTACAGACATCCGCGGAAGAGAGGAACAGATGGAGAGATTAGGCGACTAACCGGACCAAGATACTTAATGCATTGCTGTTGAAGCTTCGATCGGGGACACCTCTCAAGGAGGTTAACTTCTCTTCCTTCGCCTATATCAAGCCTGCAAAATGTTTAGGTTCTCAGTTGTGAAGTTGAGAAGTTTTTTAATTCATTTTGTTGTGGTTCCAAGTATCCTTACCAGTAAAAGAAGGGCTGCTTGCTCTGACAATGCAGCCATGTTCGATAATAAAACTGAAGATTATGGCCATAGCGATGGCGAGGATCAATCTGCCAACAAAACAAACAATGAATAAGAATAACACCCCTTATCTCAATCGATGTATCATATTAAGTCGTATAATTTCCTAGAAGAATGGACTCACTGCTTCGAGCCAATGCTGTAAAGCGAGCTTTCGAGCCTTTTCATCCTTGGACAAACCTTTTCCAACCTGGAAACAAACAATTGGAACGTTACCAATTAAAAATTGTCGCAAAAATGTTTAATAAATTAACAAGCATCTCCTTGTTGAACATATTTATGTAACTTGGGGTGTTCAAAATTGATTAATCGGTTTTATGAACCAAACCAGTTTTTGGGTTCAGGAATTTTCCGGAACTGAAACCAAACTGGTTAATCGGTTAGTAAAAACCTGTTAACCGGTTTTGAAACTGTCTCAATTTAATATTTTTATGATAAATCGGTTTTGGTTAACTGGTTTTCATATTCTCGTAAATTAGTGATCAAACTGAAAAATCGGTTTCTCTATTTTTTGAACCAAAACCGAACTAGTTTGGTTCGGTTTTTGCATCTTTTTGAACACCCTTACCTTGGCAGCTCTGGTTCTTGCTCTTGACCAACGAGAAATGGCAGTTTCATGCTTTCCAATCTCAAAGAATGATACCCGGTTGAGTTCAGCAAAATCTAACACCTTCCACCTATGAAAATTTCATTACAAGAATCTGATTATTCGACTGTGCTTTTACCTTTATACCCTTTTTATAAAAAGAATGCAAAATATATTTTTAGTGCGACATACCATCTTTGCTCAGCAAGAACAGCACAATCTGCAAGCTTTCTCCTGGTTCTGAAACTCTTGTACACTTTCTGCAACCTCAATGCAGCTTGATATCTCCGATTACCCGCCATTTTCGACACACCCGCCGGCTGCAATTTCCTCCCGCGAACACCATTCAATCTCGGATTTTGATCACCACCATCACCATCACCGTATCCATAACCATAAGCATCATGATCTCCAACATCCTCAAAATCTTTGTTCTTGAAACCCATGGCTGTGCCAAAAACCTGGTACTCCATTTCTGCAGGTGCAGGAGGAGTTTTAAACGATAACGTGTTGTCTAATTTCCTCCCTTCGAAGCTAAGTGATCTTTCCATTATTATCTTCCCGGTACTGTTTGATTTTCTTACCGTTGGCTCAGCCTCGCGGCCGTTGAAACTCACTGAGCGAAAGAATGGAGCCTTCAATTCCCCACCACCACCGCCTGTGACACTAAATGATCTCACGAGAACTGCCCCAAAACGGCTGTCTAAATCGTCAAAATTGTCAATTGGGTATGAAGGTGATACCCCCATTTGGCCTTCGAAGAAATGCCAAGATCTCAACTAACAAGATCTCTTTCAACCTGTGAAAAAAAAAAAAGCANTTTTTGAACACCCTTACCTTGGCAGCTCTGGTTCTTGCTCTTGACCAACGAGAAATGGCAGTTTCATGCTTTCCAATCTCAAAGAATGATACCCGGTTGAGTTCAGCAAAATCTAACACCTTCCACCTATGAAAATTTCATTACAAGAATCTGATTATTCGACCGTGCTTTTACCTTTATACCCTTTTTATAAAAAGAATGCAAAATATTTTTTTAGTGCAACATACCATCTTTGCTCAGCAAGAACAGCACAATCTGCAAGCTTTCTCCTGGTTCTGAAACTCTTGTACACTTTCTGCAACCTCAATGCAGCTTGATATCTCCGATTACCTGCCATTTTCGACACACCCGCCGGCTGCAATTTCCTCCCGCGAACACCATTCAATCTCGGATTTTGATCACCACCATCACCATCACCGTATCCATAACCATAAGCATCAAGATCTCCAACATCCTCAAAATCTTTGTTCTTGAAACCCATGGCTGTGCCAAAAACCTGGTACTCCATTTCTGCAGGTGCAGGAGGAGTTTTAAACGATAACGTGTTGTCTAATTTCCTCCCTTCGAAGCTAAGTGATCTTTCCATTATTATCTTCCCGGTACTGTTTGATTTTCTTACCGTTGGCTCAGCCTCGCGGCCGTTGAAACTCACTGAGCGAAAGAATGGAGCCTTCAATTCCCCACCACCGCCGCCTGTGACACTAAATGATCTCACGAGAACTGCCCCAAAACGGCTGTCTAAATCGTCAAAATTGTCAATTGGGTATGAAGGTGATACCCCCATTTGGCCTTCGAAGAAATGCCAAGATCTCAACTAACAAGATCTCTTTCAACCTGTGAAAAAAAAAAAAAAAAAAGCAAAATTAATTCAGAAAATTTCAAGAAACTTGAAGTGAAAACAAAAACTTCAACCCAAAAGTTGAAAATATTTGGACTCAGAAGCCTGAAAACGATTGGTTTTCTGAACATTTCCATTTCTTTTTTTCTTGGTTTTCTTCAAAAGGATTCAAGAAAATAGCTTTAAAATAAGAAGAGATTCATGGTTGAACCAACATATAAACCATTTCCCAGAAAGACATTTCCATTTCTTAGTTTTCTTCATAAACATTCAAGAAAATAGCTTGTAAAAAAAAGAAAAGTTAAACCAAAATGTATGAAACTTTCCTGGAAAAGAGATTACCATCTCAAAAATGTTCAAAATATTTGGGTTCATTTAATGGATGAAAAAGCTCCAAATTGATTGCGTTTCTGAACATTTCCATTTCCATTTCTTATTTTTCTCATAAAAATAGCTTAAAATGAAAAGTTAGAACCAAAATACAATAAATTTTCCAAGAAAAGAAACAACCCTTTTGTCAAATCTAATGTATCCAACTTACACCATTTCATGCAAACTTAAATACATTTATATATTTAAATCAACCAACAAAACCACAAACAAAACCAATCAACTTGATGATTGTAGAAAGAAACAAACAAAAGAATAAAAGAAGAATCGAACTCAAAAGAACTTCACCTTAACGTGGGAGAAATGGAACCAAAGAATCACACCAAACAATAAGAGGAAGAGAGAAGAAGAAGAAGTCAAAAGAGAAAAATGAGGCAGAGACGAAGAATGAAGGAGATATAAGAAGAATGCAAAGAGGTCTTTAAAGCATGGATTTGAGCTCTAGTATTCGATTGGGTGATTGCTATACTTGCAAGAGCCAATGGTTGTATATTTATAGAGAAGATGATGACACCCAACAACAGAAGAAGTAGGAGAGTTTTAAGTTTGAACTCAACAGGTGGCATTGTCTATATGATATAATTAGAAATTCATTTCTATTCACCCAATAAATTTTTTTTTTTTTTTTTTTTTTTTAAGCATAAATTTTTACTCCATTTATTTAGTCGGTTTGGTACGGCATATATGCAATTAAATTTGAGGGTATAAAAGGAGGAAAATTTTTAGGTGAGTTAGGTTTACCACCTTATTTGTATATATATCTAGTAAAATTTTGTCATATATGAATTTGACAATATTTTTCGTCGAGATCAGGTATCCATAAATTTTGAGAATATGAACGAGAGAGAGGGTAAAGGAGTACCCACAAAAACTCGATCTTGGCATGACCCAATATTGATTAATAACTAATATTTATTAGATATCATTTAATTTAACATGTTCTTTTTCATTTACAAACGAACACATGTATAGAGCTTTATAGTTATTGGTATGAATGATGTGATATAGTTTATTCATTTTAGTTATATATATATATATATATAAATTTAACAACTTTTGTCAAAAATTTTAGTTAGATAAATGTCAATTGATTTTTTGATTAATTACCATAAAAGAATCTACATATTTAAAGAATTCAGAAAAAAAAAAATGAAAGTAATTTTCTATTTTTAAACTTAAAATAATATATTGAAATTGCTTATTGGGTAAAACTTTACATTTTGATTTTTTTTATGTGAATATACAAATAATGTTTGTAAATAAAATTTAATTGAAAGTATGATTAGCAATTATTTTATAAATGATTTTGTTACCATAAAATCTTTTATAATAAACTAATATTGATATTAAACAAAATGTAAATCTATAATTTTTTAGTAAAAAATTGTAACATAAATTTGAAATTAATATATGAATATTTAGGCTAATAGTATGAAAGTTAAAAATTAATATCATAAGAAGATAGAATTAGCATTAAGCCATTCATTATATCAACAATTACATTTTTAATTAATTAATATTTAATATTTATTTGGTAACATAATAAAAATGATTAAAATTATATATATATTTGTAAATTTTTAAAATACGAATATGAATTCATTATTTATCGATTATAAACAAAAATTCAATTAAACTTTTTCATCCAGTCTTAGACCATTTCCAACCACAAACACCGAATTAGTGCAACGTTTACACTATTTTACTATTACATCTTTAACCCATTACACTAGATATTATACCAAAGTGATTATTTCTTAGAATATTCTCATTCTTTTTCTTTTTATTAATTATCAATAATTAATTTATTTAACTAATTATTTATATATATATTAATTAAATATTTGTAATAATATATTTTATTAATTAACTACTAATAATAAACATTTATTAAATCAATTAAACATTACACCAAGAATTTTGCAAAAAAGAACCCAACAACAAGATCAAGGATCTCAAAATACCTATAGTTCTTTTCAAAATTTTGATTATCTTACAGGATCCGGAATTAATCTATCGGAATACTAAATTGTTATTATAGTTTATATTATATTTTCTTTTAATTTAAGTGTTTCTGAATTAGTGTTGATTTATTTTGAGTTATTGAAGTTTAATATTTGTATTGTAATGAAATTTTATATTAATTTTTGAATTATATAATTATTATAAATATTAATATAAATAATAATAAAATTAACATAATTACAAATTAAAAAATAAGTAAATAAAAGATGTTTTAGTGTGGATGAATAGTATCGTATCAAATTTGTTTACACCAATTTGGTGTGACTTTTGATGTCTGGTGGAGTAAAATTTGGACACAATTTTGGTGTTTTACATCAATTTAATATCCCATTAAAAAGAGGAATTATTAAAAAAAAAAAAAAGCAAACAAAACAAAATGTAAACAAAACTTTTTGAACTTTCTACCAAATGCTTGACAAAATGTGAAAATTGAAAAATAATGATGGATCATTAACCTATTATTACGTGAAAACGATATTATCAAAGAAATTATTTATTTTTTATAAATATAAATAAATAATCTAATCAAGATATTTTTATATTAATTTATATAATTATATTAAATATAATATTAAATAAAAATATTATTGGAAAGCACAAATGAAAAATAAAAAAAGCTCAAAAAGATGTCGGAAAAGATAGCAGTCTTGCAGTGCAAAACCAGTCAACCCTCACCGCCACTGTTCGGATCCTGTAAGTTGTACCCAAAGGTACAACCCGCAACAAAACAAAAACCTAGGTTGTACTTAGAAGTTAGAAGAATATCATCCCAATCGCTTTCTCAACCACGTTAAACCACGCTCCACGTGAAGCATCGACATCGCGGATTAACTTATTATCACGCGCGTCAAGTGACAATGGGACTTGTATGTGTAGAAGTCAAGTACACAGTTTCACGACGACACAACCAGCTGTCGTCTCCGCTTCCCCATGCATACAGGTTGTAGGTCAACCGTACGGAATTTTTTTTAACACACAAACACGTGGCAGACCAGGATTCGCATGCGCGATAAAGTGTAGAATTAGAAATTTGAGGATAGTGAAATTAAATTCCACTCGGTTTTGTGTTGACTTTTTGACTGAATTGGTCCTCACTCCTGTTCACCGAAACACAGGAGAAAATGAAATAAATTGATATATTTTGGCCAATGTTTTAAAACCCAACTCTGAGGATGATCCAGTCACCTCTTCACCTAAACACATGACGAAAATGAAATAAATTGATATATTTTGGCCAATATTTTAAAACCTAACTCTGGGAATGACCCAGTCAGGCGACTGGGTCGTGGGTTAATCGGTTAAACTAGCAGTTTAATCAATAGTTTAACAGGTTTAAAATCTAGTAAACACACTTCTGATAAATACCATCAGACTCCATAGATTTGAAATCTAGCAAATACAACCCCTAGCTAAATGCAAATTGGCGATCGATTGGGAGAGCAGCGGCGACACACCAGGGAGGGTAGATTAGGTGATGGAGAGGACGAATCAGCAATTGGCAAGTTAAGGCATCGCTAGAAAATGATAGATCGGTGGTGGAAGTCAAACAGTTGCAGTGGCTTTTTTTGTCGAGATGACGGTGGATCTTCGTGAACTGCAATGGAGCTTGGGAGAAGGTAGATCGGTGGCTGAGAAGGCCGATCGATGCCGAAGAAGGTCGATTGACTTCGGGAAAT